TTCTCCTCCATTCTCCTTTTGAGATTTTGGGCATGAATGCACATGCACTAGGATTGAGTTTCAAGCTGCTGGGTCCAGGACTTGAATTATGGTTGGCCATGTGGGGTCCAGCAACATAACCATCATGCCATCTGCTGATCCCCATATATCCTTAATACCCTCAAATTCATGTCTTTATCAAATATAGGGTATATTGGGACCAGCAGTTAGCGTAACGGCTATGTCACTGGACTCCCATGTAGTCGACCGCAGTTCATGTCCCGGACCCAGTGGCTTAAAACTCACGCTGGGCACATGTGCATGTGTGCCCAAGATCCCGAGAGGAGAACAGAGGAGAAGGGATTGCAGCATAGCCATCCCCCCTGGGGGGTAATTTCTTGCTTTCTGTCTCTCTGTCTCTCTCTGTCTGGCAAGTGCACGTGCCCTATAGAAAAAACCTCTCAAAGAAAAAAAAAGAATTAAAAAAATATATATATAGTATATTTATTCTGTATCCATAATCCTGAAAGCCTTGTTTCACAATTAACTTTAAACTCTAAGTCCAAAGTTTCATTTAAATGTCATCTAAATAAAAATAAAACTGGTGTACCTAAAAAAATCAAACAAGTTTTATGTTTACAAAATACATTGATCAGATAGGTATACACTAGCCATTCCCATCCCAAGAGAGAGAAATTAGAGAAGAAAAAATAATAGGTTCCAATGAAGTTCAAAACCCTGCAAAGTAGACATTAGTAGCTTTAGAATAATCTTCCTTGGTTCCATGTCCCAGTCTCTGGAGTGAAGTTGGGTCTCTAGGGCTATGGGTAGCCTCACTACCATGACCTTGCTGAGGCCACAGCTCTCATAGATTATCATCTCATTCCTGCAGGTATTCCAGGCTAGAACTTCACACTGACAGCTCTACAGTTCTGGGGTATCAGGGGGCAGCTCTGACCCCATGGCTTCACTAGGCAGGTAGGTTGTGTATGATGGCCCCACCTCTGTGGCCATTCTCTATCTGAGCCCTGAGTCTCAGAGTTACCATTTGAAATCTAAGTAGAGGCCATCCATACCCATACAGCTCTGGTATTCTACATACCTGTAGAGTTAGCACCACATGGATGCTGCCATGATTTATGGACTCTGCCCTCATGGCCCTAGAATTCTGAGCTATGACTGAGGGGTCCTTTTTCTATTATTTAATGAATAGCATCCATATTTATATATTCAGACTAATTTCCTTATCAAGCATTATCTCAATCACATCTTTGATAATGTCTCCCAAAGATGCTTTCTTCTTTATTTTGCCAGGCTGAGAATTTTCTAACTCTTTAAGTTCTGCCTCCTTTTGAGTTATAAATTTTGTTTTTAATTTGTATTCCTTTTCTCATGCTTTACTATAAGCAGTCAAGAGAAGTCCCACAGCATTATGAACACTTTGCCTCAAGACTTCTTTGGCCAAATAGCTATTTATCATCCAAAGTCCTTCCTTCCACAAAGCACTAGGATATAGCTGAAATTCAGCCAAATTCTTTGTAACATTTTTAACAAGGAGGGCCTTTCCTCCAGTTTCCAAAGCCTTATTTCTCATGGCCATCTAACATTTCATCAAAATTGCCTTTATTGTCCATATTACTACCAGTATTCTGATCATGACTAAAGTTTTTTCTTAGAATATTTAGACCCTCTCTTCCTGAGCCTCACTAGAATGTCTCTTAGCATGTTGACATTGACAATGTAGACTTTTTCCAACATTTACTTCAAAACTGCTCTAACACCTACCAATTACCCAGTTCCAAAGTTGCTTCCACATTTCTCATGATTTGATATTGCTTCTAGTATCAATTTCTGTCTTAGTTCACTCTTGTTACCATAATAAAATATCTGTGTCTGGATAACTTGTAAACAACAGATATTTATTTCTCATAGTTACGGGACTACAAAGTCCAAGATCAGGTGCCAATAAATAAGATGAGAACTGCTCTCTGGTTCTAAGATGGTACCTTGTATATTGTATCTTCACATGGTGGGGAGAGATAAGGCAAAAAGGCCTAACAAGTTTTTTTCAGGTCCTTTTGTAAAGGATACTGATTCTTGATGTGCTCTCATGATGGCTTGTTTTATTATAGGAATAGGTCATATTTGAAACTAGTCGGACTTACTAAACAAAGGGGAGTTAGTCTATTGGGTTGTCCGGGAAATCATGTTGCATTTTTGCATAGAAAAACACGTCACGACTTTCCCAACAACCTAATTTAAGTGTAGAGTTAAATTTGGTGTGGAAATATTTTTTAAAAAGGTATCCCTTTACTAGATTAAATAATGGAATAAAATGCATAGAATTTTTAAATGCACTGTTACCTTTATCATAGCCTATCTATTAAGTTATGAAGGTCATCTTAGTGGAATGTTGACATACAGTACTTGAATTTTTAAAAATCATAACAAATTTGTAATAACATTTTATTGTGTAATAGTGGTAATATAATGTTATTTTGTGCAAAAAGAACATGTTAAGAAAGTACTGTAAAAGTGATATTTCTAGAAGCTATTTCATTCTTCTTGTCATTCTCTTGATGTAATCCATTTTTATGTTAACGAATGCAAACAGAATGCCTCTGAAATTTCTCAGACATTGTAAATCTTTATATTTTGGTATTTCTGAATTAACTAGGTTTACATTTTTGTTTTTCAATATCCATTCATTATTTAATTCAACACATTTTTATTGGCTACCCTGCACGTAATAATTTGATATGCTGCTTCATATGAAAACATTGTTTTCAAGAAAATGTTCCTTTGAAAATTATTTTCCCATGAGGTATCATTAGTACTTCCTCTAGCTAAATAAACAGGCAAGGTAAGCAAGTAAGTGAAGGAATAAGATATTAGATTTTAATGAATGCTATATATACAGAGATAAATAAGAAAATAATGTGAAAAATGTTTGATGACAAGTTTTATTCTCTCTGAGGTGTAGTATTTCACCTGGCTTTTGGAAGCTAGGATTGTGCCAGCTCTGGTAACTGGAAAAGATTGTTTCAGGGAGAAAGATGATCAAATTCCCCATTTCTGGGCAAGGAAGGGATATAGAAGAGTCAGATATGTTTGAGGGATGGAAAGGAGGCCAGTGTGGCAAAGAGATCATGCAGAATGTTGCAGACCTAGTTTAGAAGTTTCAATTTATGCTATGTAAGTTGGAAAAACACTTTTTTAAGAAAGTTCACAGTTGATGTATTTAAGTTTAAAAACTGCACCTGGCTTCTTTGTGGCTAATAGACGGACAATATTAGGAGTGAGAGAACCAGTTATTTGGTAATGGCAGGACTATCAGATGAAAGAACATTACACAGTTGGTTGCTTTCGTTATGTTGTGGTCTACCCCCACACAATAATATGCCTTGTGTTCAAATGACGATCACATGTAACATCACCTGATCTCCTGAACAAACCGTGGGAGATTCAAGCATTGAATCAGTGGCAACAATAGAATGCAACCTCTTGATGTCTTTTTCCTTTTTTTTAGTTCAATGATTATTGGTCTGTGTGACATATTGGTCTCATAATTTCAACATATACATTTCATATGATTGATTTATTATGGAGTATCCAAAATCTATGAACATTGATCTATGGACTAAAAATAGTGCTAATATCTATTTGATAATATAGTAAAATTTTCCATGAGATAAATTAGCTATGGCATTAATATAAAATATTTTCTACATGGTATGTACATATAGTATATATATATGTTTATTCCATAAGAAAGAGAGATCAAGAGACAGCAGAGACAGCACTCCAACAGGATCTTAAAGTTGAAGATGTACCCCCAGCTTTAGCTAACCTCCTGTCATGGGTATACACATGCCCAGAGGACTTAAGAAAGTCTCAGGATCTCAAAGATCCCAGGCTTGAACTGGGCTCCTTTCCATCTGGTTCAGCTTTGCAGAGCATGGGCTCCACTGTCTAGCCCCCGATAGTAAATGTATTTTTAAATGCATTTTCAAAGACTACAATGCTATTTTCTACTCTACTTATTATTAAGATCACTGGTAAAACAACTACGTGTGATCTCATTTCTTAGTTGAAATAATCATGTATGTTAAGCTGAAAATTTCCATACATTCATTGCCTTTTCAGCTTTTTTATCTTTTGGCAAATTAATTGAATTTGGACTAAAAGCGCTAACATAATGGTCATTAAAATGACAACAACGAGACTTAGTTGTAATAGTGCATTGTACTCCGCTTCTTGGCAGGCTAAGACCCCTACAAGACCCGGGTTTGATTCCTAATGAACCCAAAGAGCCAGGTACAGTAGTGTGTGCTGAGAGTCCCAGCTACTCAGGAGGCTGTGGCAGGAAGATTGTGAGTTCATGTCTAGCAGGGGTAATGCAATGAGTCTCTCTCTGAAAGAGCCTGGTGTGCACCTGCAGTCCCACCTACTCAGGTGGCTGAAGCAGGAGGATTATGACACAGCAAGACACTTCCAAAAACACCATACACACATACACACACACACACACACACACACACACAAAATGACAATGTGTCCAATTTAATTATAGGAGTTCATGATCATGTTACAAATAGTTGTAGTCATACATAATTTTCAGTCCTCAATCTTATTTCTCTTTCTTGTATACTTGAAAAATACAGATGAGTAAGAATTTTTATTACCTCTCATATGTTAATTTAAACAATAATTTCTGAATTATTAATGGCAACACCTGGGTGATACATTTGATTTAGATACATTTCCACCTAGATATATTTTCGTACTAGAAAATATTTTCTTAGGTAGGACAAATATTGTGAATTCTTATAAATAGTGTTCAAAATATATGTAATATTCAAAAAATTTCAAATGTGTTTTGAAATAATATGAGCAAACATTAACGTTCACTTTCTGATCATTCATTAATTTTCATTAGATTTAAGCAATTTAAGTAAATTCATTTTTTTTTACTTTATTTTCTACTTAGATTTTAAAGGCATAGTGCTTTTATTTTGCAGATTGTTGCCTTGCGTGAACAAAATGTTCATATACAAAGAAAAATGGCATCAAGTGAGGGATCCACAGAGTCAGAACATCTTGAAGGGATGGAACCTGGCCAGAAAGTCCATGAAAAGGTATGAGACACGTGACAAACTAATACACAGACTGGTTACTTGCTCTGTCATTTTGAAGAGATAGTAAATATAAAAGCTTTATATTTAACATTTGTCGAACAAAGGTGTATGTGACTTCTCATTTATTACCCTTAATTTGATTCTCTTAAAAATGATACATACATCTATATACTGAGTTTCTATAACCTTTAGACAATTAGTTTCAGTCACAGAGTGCAAACACTCAGTATATAGGTGTAAATACCGGATATAGTGTGTGTGAAAGAGGGTCTGAGGAAGGACATTTGGGGAGGGGCAGGGAGGCAACTCATTGATGGCACAAAGAGGTACAGTATTATCTGTTGAAGATATTTCATAGTTTTATCAACAGTACTAGGGAGAAATGTTCACCTGTTGAAATATCCATTTTGTAAGATAAATAATAATGTAATTGAATGTATGGAAGAAAATGAAATAAAAAAATGATTATGAGGTAAAAACATTTAAAATGTAAATAATTTGTTTAAAAAATAAAAAATAAATAAAATAAGCAAAAATAATAATAATACAAATGGGGCCAGCAGGTAGTGGTGTGGTTGGGGCACTGAACTCTCATGTGGTTGACCATGATTCAACCTAGACATAATGACTTGAAACTCACGCAGGGTGTGAGTGTGTGCATGCCCAGAATTCCGAGAGGATAATGATGGAGAAGGGATTGTGACATGTCCATCCCCCTCAAGAAGGGATTGTAGTATGGCTTTCTGTCTCTCCGAATCTCTCTGTCCCTCTGGTGAGCACACACAATTGCAGCTAACCCTGTAGCATAGCACATCAGGCACTATGCAGAGGAAGCCAGGTTTCACATGGCCATCCGGAGTTCAGGTCCCAGCTCTCTTGCCTTGAAAACTCACTGGGCATTCTCATGTGTTGATCTTAATGGCATGGAGAGTTAGAAAAAGGATTGTGGTGTGACCAGATGCATGATGAGTGTGATTTCTCTCTGTGTCTCTCTTTTTCCTTCTCTTTCTCTCATGCATATGCAAGCATCCTCTGGCATTAAAAACTGAATGAATGAATGAATGAATGATTGAATAAATAAAGTTGAGCGTGATATGATGCTTAAGAAGGCTGGATCCCACATGGTCAACTACACAGTTAAGTCCCAGACCCAGGAGCATGAAAAACATGCCATGTGTGTGCCCCAAATCCTGAAAGGAGGGAGAAATGGAGAAGAGATTGTGGCATGACCATCTCACCATGGAGGGTGCTTTATCACTTTCTCTCTCTCTCTGTTCAGCTAGTGAAAGTGTCCTCTGGCAAACTATAAAGTTTTTTTTTTTTTTAAAAAAAGAAAAGTTAAAGTGTATAAATCAAAGAATTTATACAAAATGTGGATATGTGTATGTCCAGAACTGTTTTTAAGTATAATAACAATATTTTGGATTATAAATTATATTATACATAATGGTGTCTATTCTGTTATCACTGCAACAATTTTATGGTAATTGAATTAGTATTTTCCATATTGTTTTTGGGAAGGCCCCAACTGTATTCCTGTAATAAGTGATTGTATCCTACAATATCTATAGTCATAGGACTTTTACCTTTAAAAAAGGAAAATATTCTCCTTTTTTGGGAGGGCTTAGACACAGGCTAAGGAAACCAACAGTCTGTTTGGCCACTAGAAAAGAATATGCAATGAAGATAGTAAATTATGGGTAGCTCCTGAATCAGGTGAAAGTTATTTAGACATCTGTATATTCGATACCTGAAACTCAGGACACTCTCCTGGGTATTTGCCTATTACACGTATCTGTGGATGGGGAAGCACCTTAGTCATCAAGACTATGTAAATCAGGTAGCTTAACTGCTGTCACTGTGAATAATGTTAAGAGGATTTAGGTCCAGCCAGTGGCATGGTGGTTAAGGCAGCTGGATCCCACATCGGTCAAGTATGGGGTTCAGGTCCCAGACCTAGTGGCTTGACAAGTCCACCAGGTGTATGTGTGTGTACATGTCTAAAATCCCAAGAGGAAAATGGAGAAGGGACTGTGGATGGCAATCCGCCATGGAGGGTGCTTTCTTACTTCCCCCACTCCCTTATGAACACATGTGCCTTATAGCAAATTAAAAAAAAAAAAAAAAAACAATTCTAAAATTTAAAGATTAAAAAACAAGTGACTGAACAACAACAATGCACTGGGTTTTGTAAAGAAAATAAATTGGGTACTTCCTTACTAATGGAGGTGAAACAGATAGAAAGGCTTCAGTTTCCTCAATCAAGAATAGAAGCAAGGGGAACCAATTAATTCCAGAGATAGATTTCAATTCTGGTTGCTGGGAAACAAAAAGATCTTCTAAGACTTTACTATTTTCACCATTATCCATGCATTTTATGCAAATCTTAAGTGTTAAAACTATGCTACAATTTGACAGATTTTATGAGCTATATCTGAGATAAAAATAAAATTACTTCTCTTTCCTTCAGCTAAGGATATTAACTGATATTAATTCAGTACATATGCTGACAAGCTCTTTAGAACAAGGCATTTGTACTGCAGATTCAATTTAGCAAACTAACAAGTTATTTTCTCTTCCTCTTTCATTTTAATAATATCATTACTGGTAGACCGCTATACCTCTCCTCAGAGAATTATAGAATCACACTGGCTTGGGGATGAAAATGGACTTTATGATTAGCTAGTCTTTTACATAGAAATCTTTAAAATATTGTTTGCTTTAACAATATTTAATTTAGGGAACAGCAGATGGCATAATGGGTATGTCACTGGACTCCCACGTTGTTGACTACAGTTCAAGTCCCAGACCTGGTGGCTTAAAACCCTATAGCAATAAAATTTCTTTCTTAAAAATAACAAAACAAAACAATGTTACATTTATACAAATCTAGCCTAAAATTAAAGAAAAATGCCTATCACAGGTGTGTGGAAATTGAGATTATGTCTGTCCTCTAGTAAACTTGATATTTACCACATTTGTATAGAAACCTGGGGAACTGATACTTGTATCTGAGACTTCACAGATGTGTGTGCGTGTGGGGATCCGGAGTTACTGGTGATATAAAACACTTGTCTTTAACTTTGTTTGAGGAACTTTTGGGGAAGGCACTTTGTCAATATAGAAAATAAATTCTATGTCATTGCTAACTCATTCACGTGTGTGTGAGAGAGTGTAACTAAAGATTTTTAAGCCTTTTGATTTTTAGTCACCATTTTTTTCACTTTCCCAAATTGCAGGAAGAGTGATTTTCAAATACCTTGATATAATGATATACTATTATTTAAAATATTATGTCTATATCCTTCAATGTAAACCTAAAAAACATATAATATACCATGTATTGTTTGTCGTGAAAATCATGATGCATTTTTGCATAGAAAAACAGAAAAATACATCATAACTTTCCCAATGACCTAATTTAAACTTAAAGATAAGTAAGTTGTGTTTTAATTTATATTATATCAGTGATTGACTTCTTACAATGACTCAATGTAGTGTAAAATGATACAGTTTTATTTTTACAGTATTTATCTTTCTAACAGTTTTTTCTTTCTTTTGTTTTTCCTTAACTTTATTCATGTTAGGGCACATGTACACACATGAGGAGAGAGAGAGAGGCAGGGAGAAGGGAAGCATCTTCTTAGTGGGGTCTGGCGTGCCACAATCCTTTTTCACCAATTCTCCATCCTGCCAGGATTTGGGGCACACATGTACCTGTATACCCAGTGTGATGACACTGGGGTTAAGATTTAAAGCACAGTTAACCATGTGGGATTCAACTTTGCACAACCTTAACTACTGTCCTAGGGCCCATCCAACACTTCTTGATCAAGTATAAAATAATACCCTGATTATTATTTTTGTCATCCATACACACACACACACACACACACACACACACACACACACCTGAATTATAAACCTAAAACATAAAGCATCTTGTCCTTTCGAAATGATCCCATATAACATAATTATTTGAGGTATATCAATAACACTAAGTAACAAGTTGTCACAAAATTTTAATTTTGAGCCTATAACTAACTTTTAGTTGTAAACTTTTTAAAGGTATATTCAAGCAAAGGGAAGAGAATATTATTTTTGCAAATGTTTACATAATGAAGGTTATCAGTGTAGGATCAGTATAGTATTAGTGTGTAAATTGCAAGGTGGTTATTCAAGAGAAAAAAATCCAGAACTATTGTTAGGTACTAATGGAGCTGTCAGAAAAGTGACTTGTAAATCCTCATCACAAGGATTACCCTTTGTTTAGGGCAGCATAGTTGCTTAAATTACATAGTCAGAGTAGGTTATTAGCTAACAGGAGATGTTTTATGTCAGTGGTTTGAGGACTCTTAACAAAGTAGTTGATAAAAATAGTCTTAAAAAAACACACTTTGAAACAGGCCTTATTACTCATGGAAAAGTCTTGTAATTATTGTCAACATGTATAAAAAAATTAAAATAAATATACGCTTGACTTAAACAAGTTTAAATATTTTAGGTGATCTATAAGTCTAGAAGACTATAAATATGCACAGGATAACAATTTTTCCTGTTATAACATTTTCCTGTGGCTTTCCAGAAAGAAGTTAATTTACAAATTTTTTCAATAAACATGCTGCTCTCATAAAGGAAATACTACTACTCATGACCGGTATATTCTGTACATCCAAATTTTATTTTTCCCAGCTGCAAACACTTGCTGAGTGAGCACTAGAATGTTAAGCAGTGGTAGAGATTCAGAAGACATAGCTCCTGTACTAAATCGAGTAAGAATGTACAGTGGAAGGCTCAAACTGTGGTAATACGGCAGTTGATACTGCTATTTAGGAGGCTAAGGCCACGTATGAGCCCCAGGATGATTTTCTGATTCATCCTAAAAGCCAGGCATAGTGGTGTGCACCAGTAATGCCAGCTACTTGGGAGGCTGAGGCAGGAGAAAACACAGTACATGAGATCTTGTAAAAAGTTTTTAAATTACAAAAAAAAAAAAAATT